TGAGGCAGCTAAAATACACGCGTAAATGTGTGCACAAATGATCCCTTGGGCCATTCACTCAATCACACTATATAGCCACCTCTGTAAACAGGCAGCCAAATTTAGACTGCTTTTTATTATTTCTCTGTCCCTTCCTATGCTTACTTCATCTCCTATTGAATACATCACCTGCTAATTAATTTATTTAATAAGCACTCTCATTATTCTTTCAGTTCCCTAATAACTGTGTTTAAAAGACTTGGACCCCTAGTACCAATCCCTCTGGCACGTCATAGGTGTCTTTTCAACTCCATACCGTTACTTACTGTTTATCTTCTCAAGCGCTCTAGCTACTTTCCGAGAAGTGCAACGGTGCTCATTTCCAAGACGTTTTGAGATATCATACATTATCTCAGCGTTGCAAAGTTACGCTTTTCTTCAGTCAAAATGTAGTGAGTCTGATGAACCACTGTGTTATTCCAGACTTATGGTTGTGCAACTGCAGAGTAATTGCTGAGAAGAGAGTCCCAGCCTGCTGTGAGGCAAGGAACGGTACTGAGATGAGATGCTGAAACTGGACCTGATGCGCAATGTCTGAATGCACACAGACATTGCGTTCACTGTTGCTTCTGGTGCTGAGACAGAGGGGCACAAGTAGCGGCGCTGCTCATGGCTGGAGCCAGCATGGGCCTGGCACAGCTTATTTGCCCAGGCACCACGCCACACCTCGTCTGCAGAGGTGTTCCCCTCCCCAGGGAGCCCACCTCACTGGTTGGGAGCTGTATTACACTGGAATTACAGCTACGTAAATCTAGAGTATTGTAAGAGCTCCTTGGCTGACAGAAAGCAAATCATTTGTAAACTAGAGGTAAGGGTGACTTGCAGCCTGCTACAGAGAGGAGAGTCGTGGTCCACTGCAAGTGGTTTTGCCAGCTTCCTGGTGCACTAGAGTTGTCAAATTGACCTATGCAGAAAGACACCCTAGTGGATAAATCTTTCACCTGCTAATTTTTGTGAGTTGATGAAGTAGTCACGTTTGATTTTATCTTTTCTTGTTAAATCTACATCCAGTGTGCCTTATGGTTCCTCTTACCCTAAGGGCACTTGCAATTTTTTAATGCTGATCTCTTATTTTAATAATATTCAAAGGTAAATTTTGCATGTGGCAGTTTTGTGTAGTTCTTCTTTTCTCAAATTAGCATTATTTGTCCTTCCTCCTGCCCCAGTCCTCTGATGCCTACCTGATTGTGCATGAATTTTCAGAAATAATTGCCAGTAGTTCAGCAAGTTCATTAACTGAGTCCCTTAAGACCCTCAGATGCATGTCATCCAGACCTGAAGATTTGTATATTAAATTTTTGCAAGTATTCCCTTACCTGTTTTTTTTTTTTTTTGGTATCAACAACTGTATTGGCAAGTCTTCATTATTTCTAATTGTCAATATCTCTTTGTTGTGGTAGATAAATTGATTATAAAACTCGTTCCCCATTTTGCAATCATTGCTCATTTTACTTCATTTATTAATGGATCCATCTTCTCCTCAGAGTTCTCTTCCTGTGGTGTTCTGTACTTGTTAAAATATAAATCCAGTTCTCCCCAGCTCTTTCTTCGCTAGCAACTGGGAAGTCATTCTGCTTTTTTTTTTAATCTCATTTCTCACCGGAATCCATAATTAACTCTCCATTTTTTGTCTATACCTTGCTGACACTCCTCCAGCATAGATACTCCTCCAGCAGAGAGTCTTTTCTCTCTACAGATCCTTGAGTAGCCGTATTGGCTGCCTGGCTGTTTCTTTGTGAGGTTTGGGGGATTTTTTTGATTTTTTTTTCTTCTGCAACTGTAATCTTAGCATATTTTAGGATGTTCTAGCTGTCTCCCACACTTAACATGCTGTTTTCATGTCTTTTTATTACACCATGCTCCTAAGATTTCTCAGACACCCAAAGAATTAATGTCTTAAGCTGTTATACTTTGTGCTGCAACCCACTGCTTAATACAATACGTTGAATCGTGTCGCTTATAATCATTGCTATTGAAACTAGTGAGCACAAAGGGTATAAATACTTTAGAATATCCTGGCTGTAGCACAAATGTTTCTTATAATCTGATTCTCGCAAATAGTTCTTTCTCTCAAAACATAGATGGCTTCTCATGCATTTAATTTAGCTTTGTCTACTACTAAACACAACTGAGCTTACTGTCTTCAAAAATATTTTTCCTCTTGTGAAAACCTTATGGCCAAATCTGTCATCACCCTTAGGACATAACTCCTCTTGCTTCTGTCCAGTCTTCCAGACCTTTGATATACAAATCACAAATGCATGGCCTGTGCAGTGTTAAATTTTTAGGGCTCTCCCTTCAGTAATAGTTGGGTATGAATACGTAAGGACAAAATTTGACCTTTAAATGACTATAAAGGGCCAAGGTAGATACTTGGCAGGCTTTTCGTATTGCAATATTAATCAAGCAAAGAATCATCATAATCCTAGAAACTAAATAGCCATTGTAGTGATTTTATCACCAGGGAAATTGTTCATCTGTCAGTAAGATTGTTACTAGGAAAGGGAAAATAGAGAGTGTTAAAATTGCTTTAGACCGCTGAATCAGCGAGTCCCTCTAGATTCAAAGCTTGAATTGTTTTTTGAGAGGGGTGGGTTGAGAGGGGTTGCTACAGGAAAGCTTTAGGTTAATCAGTTTCAGTAACACCAGTGAATGTGAGTTTGATCTCTCCTGGGGGAATGGGAAGAGTGCATGGGAGAAGGCAAGATAGAGAAAGGAAAGGGGAGGCTTCTTAAACTTATTGTTTTGTCACTTTTTGTTTCTGGATGGCCCTTTCACAAAGGAGAAACATTGCAGACTTAAAAAAAAAAAAAAAAGGCAGCATAATGTTCACTGCCTATATTTTCAACTAGTTTAAGCCAGCCAATACTAATGAGCATGAAAACGACAGAGACAAAAGGAGATAGATAAAGGCAGGTGGGAGTGACAGAGGTGGGTTCGTACGGGAAGTGCCCGTGTAAGGCCCAGAAAGCCATATGTGAAGATATTTTGCCTCTTGGGGCTCAACATGACATTAATGTGTGCTGTGCCATGGATGTGTGAGGCGATCTAGCTGTGCAAGAGTGTTCTCTGGGTGTATGTTATGACAGCTTATTTCTCTGTAAAATCGCGCCTGTGTAGATGATGTCTTTGCCTGTGTCAATGTATGATGGCAGTGGACAACCATATCACACTATACCAGATCCCACCATAACCAAAGCTATTTTGTGCAGGAGGGGTCTGTGGAAGATGCCAAAAGAGGAAGTTTTTCCTTATGCGCTGGTTGGACACCTATGTGTACGGGATGACCCTGAAGTGGGGAAAAAGCCTTGTTAAGTATGGCTACAGGGTGGATCTCTGGAGGGAAAGTGGTAGATTGTCTGCGTTGAAAGCCGTCTGTAAGATACGATAGATTGCCTTCCAGTGAAGAGGATTTGCAAAAGGATGGATGAGTTTGGAGGTGGAAAGTATTTGTATAAAAGATGCCTGCGGGAAATTTGTGTAAGATGTCATGAATTGTCTTCGTACAACGAACGTGGGGGGGAAAAATCTGTGTATGTGTGTGACGTGGATTGTCTTTGTATAAAAAAGTCTCTTTGTGTGGGAAGTGGTGTCTTTATGTAGCTGGTTTTTTTGGAGGAGCTTGTGTGATGGCTGCCTTTTAGTGAGTTGGGGGAGGGAAACGTGACTGAGAGTGTCTTTATGAAAGAGTTTCTGGAGGGAAAAGCATATGTGTAGCAACTGTTTCCGAAAAGTACACATATTCTGAGCTAGGGAATATGCAGCGAGGGTTTCTGAAGGGGGTGCGAATATCTGTGCGCTGGTGGTGGTGGCCTGCCTTTGTTCAGCGGGTGTCTCCAGAGGGCCGGCTGGCCCGGCTCCCGGCCCGGGTCAGCGCCCGGCCGCGCTACAGCCCTCCGCTCCGCGCGCCCTGTCCTTCATTGTTGTAACTCCCCGATTGTGATACTGTCACAAAACTGTTGCTAGGCAACAAATGTGGTTACCAGGTCTCAGCGAATAGCTGAAGGGGAAAGCGAAGTGTTGCACCATTGTAGAGTAACCATAGCAATGACCTACTATTACAGACTAAAGAATTATCATTAACAATGTTAAAGTATCAAACAGAGGCCCAGGATCCAGAGACTTCCAGGCAGCATCTCTGCATAATTGGGTTATCTAGGAAGAGATCCCACCTCTTTCAAAGCACTTGGCCGGTTGTCTCTATGGGAGGGCGGACATTAATATTGTTTTTTGTTTTTGTTTTTTCCAATAAAGCAGATGTACTGTGCATTTAAGGAGACACTTGTAAAGCAATAGATGAACGTTGACCACAAAAATCAGAAACAGGTGACTCTGTATGCAGAGGGAAAAGATGACAGAAGAGGTTCACTTTTCTGCCTCAGGATTGTGCACAGGTTTATTGGGAAAAGAAACACCTAAGTGATGTATTAGTTGTTTTTAAAGTTAGGTGTTCTGTTTTAGTTAAAATGCCTATACTGGACTGAAATCAATGTTAAATATACATTTACATATACATATGTGTATGGAGTACTCACGCTCTGAAAAGTATATATCTTTTTGTGAGTTAGGCCAGACAGGTGAAATGCCTTAATGAAGCTGTTCTTAGCAGGGTGCTGTGGGGTTTGACTTTCCCAGGGTCGAGATGCTTTCAGGGTCCATGGTTCTCGAGCAAGCAGCAAGGAAAGGAGAGGCGCCTAGCACAGCCAGGGCCATGGAGGTGTGTGGGTGTGGGGGTGTGTGTGTACACGCACGCACGTGCGCGTGTACCGCGTGGACGGCTGTGCCAGTGGAGCCCTGCAGCGGTGCAGCCCCAGTCCCGTCCCAGTCCCCACAGCCGGGACGGAGACAGCAGCGGGGGCGGCTGGGGGCTGGGCCCTGCTGGGCGGTGCAGGGCGCTGCGCAGAGCGCACCTGGCAGCACACGGCAACTCGCAGTCAAACTGTGCCCTTTGTGTTTTGCAGGTACGGAGCGTCATGAATTAACTTCCTGGAAGAGTTTTCCATCTATTTTCAAATTCTTCAGCGAAGCAATAGAGGCAAAGAACAGTTCGGTGAAACCAGCCCCGACGCGGCGCTCCAACAGGATAAAATACGAAGAATTTTAAGAGCAGGAAAACAAATCTCTTCGCTGCTTGTTTTCCACAAGCGGTCTCCCCGCCCCTCATTAGATTGTTTTCTTCCTAGAGCACAGGGTCGTGATGTATACATCTAAATAGCGTTTTGCATTATTTCTAGATGAGTGCAACTGTCAAAGCAATATGGGTTCACTGGTTGTGCTTCCTGTGGGCTGTAACTTGGATTTTGTGCTGCCCATCAGCGCGCAGATTAAGGCTGACAGTGGTACTGCACAGTGCAGCATGGTGCAGCTCTAATTGCCCTGACATAGCCCTGCACCAAGCTGATGCCAGAATTTAACAGCTTCTTTGTGGTCCTATTGCCTGCAGGATTTTGTTGCTTCCTTCCAGGGTTCACTTTTTTTCCTTCTTTTGCAGGAACGAAGTTTGGGATTTATGCATTTTTTAAGAATTGCTTTTAAAATAATTGATACAGATAGATTTGTCTCCCCAGTTCCTGTGCTTCCCCCTATCTGCATCTGCTTTTAAACTGCTTACATGCATTTTTTTAATAATACAGTGTATTTGTGTTTTTGTAGGGTTTTCATTTTCAAGCCATAATGACGAAAGTAAAATTTAAAGAATAAGCCCATAAACAGCACAAACCCGATTAAATAGTATTTGGACTTACTAGTCCCAAAAAATACTAGTTATTCTCTGTAATTCTAACAAAATCTTTTTGGTTTGGCTTTATTTTCTTATGAGACCAGGGGACAAACTGTGCATAAAGTAACACCTATGAAATAATAAATTAAGACTAGATATTTCTGTGGAGAAGTATCTCGGAATTTAAAATAAGGTTTCCAGTAAATCTGTACATTACAAAAAGAAATAGCTATTTTTAAAACAAAGCCTACTGATGCTAAAATCTCACTGCTTTGTGATCCTAGAACTGCCATTTTCACAGAGAGTTTGCAACTCTGATTTTAAAACTGCAAACTATTCTAGTGCACATATTAGTGAAAAGTGTAACATAGGTTAAATGTCTGTATTTAAAATTTACTTTTAGAACTTGGTTGATACCTTTATTTTTTATTCTGATAGAAAGTCTATTTTGAGACAGAACAAAATACTACTCTTTTTAAAGACAGTTCTAACTCGGAGTGCTAACAAGCAAATGATTTTACACTCAATAGCCTTCTCTTTCTCTGGGACCAAGTGAGATCAGCTCTTCACTCTTTCATTTTCTGCTGATAGGAGGGTCCAATAACTTTGGTCCAGATTTATGGGAAAGTCCCTTTGTTGTAGAGATTTTCTCCTGCTGGATCAATGGCATTATTTGTAGATCTCCTCTTCCTTTTCAAAGTCCTACTTAAAAATGCCTATTCATTAACGCCTGGACCACACTGTGAAATATGACCGCAAAAAAAAAAAAAAGAAGAAGAAGAAGAAGGGGGGGGGACCGTTTTTT